AACATATCTTATCATAGTAATTTCAAAGTAATTTAATGGTGTTCTTCGTTACTCAAAATTTAGTCGAGAAAACTTTTACGATTAATAAAATGAAAAATCACTATTTAAAAACTGCATAAAATACGTGCCAAACTGCCAACTATAAGTAGACCGGAATCGTATTTTGAGGTTAGTCAAATTTGATTTGTTTTTTAGGCACTCAAAAATAATTTAAAGATATGGACAAAATACGAACGATTGTAATTTATATTGCAAAATAAATTGATCTATATATTTTACAATAATTATCTTATATATCGTCACTTACCGAGAAAAAGACGTATTGGGCTCCATCGGTAGTTTTAAAATAGACAAAAGGTACATGGTGCGAACAATTTCCTGTGTTTCGATTTCAGTTACTATATTGTATAGTTGTACACATTTTAAAGAAATCCTAACATATCACAAATTTACAATGTCTAAAAAGCGTTTTCAATCTGCTACGAGGCTGCTAAAACAAAACTTATTGTGAAATCTTCCGTTTTAGATTTTAGTTTTGATATTTTATAATGCCGCTTTTCAATTAAGAAATTGGCTACGGATTCACCTCTTTATCACTTATTCTTAGCTTCTCTTCACCGATTTTTATAATATAGTATTTTAACTTGTTTCGCACACTGAACTCTTAATTCTAACAATTCCGCACAAGAAAAAAAAGTTATCGTCGGCCTCGTAGAGCAATACAGGCATATGCCAAGGAAAATTTGTGATTCAGAGAGTATAAGCACATAAATTGTTTAATAAAAACACGTCGCGCTGAAGAAAACTATAGGCGATTCTTCCAAAATGTAATCGCGTACGTTATTAAGACTTTTTCAGTATTTCAAAAACACCAAAAGGGACCCAAAATTTAATACTGTGTTTTTTGAGTTTACATCCTTAATATATTTAATTTATCTATGAAATTTAAATTATTTATGACTGGAATTAAGCCTATTTAAAATGTTCAGCATTTAAATTAAGTATTACATATTTCAAATTACATATATGAGATTAGCCAGATTGGCCCATAAAATTAAATCAATAAATCCTATGCAGGATAATAATGACTATGCTATCAATGAAGAAGGCAATATAGGTATAAATATGACACAAGATATATAGACATCTTTGTATCAGCAAAATTAGTGTATACTCAATTTAATTCAATATACATAGAAATGAATTGCCATATTTTAGAATTAATGATTTCTCCTATATATTATTATTGATACAATGCTGATCTAGCAGTTAGCTAGACGTTTTCGAGGAAGGCTTCAATGGAGAAATCAGTAAAGAAGTACTGGTACTTATATCTTAAGAAGAAAAAAACATTTCATAAGTATAATATAGCTATGAAAATATTTTTACGAATTGTGGTGATTACAATGTAACTCTTGTTGTGAGAATGCTCGCCACACTTCAAAAATAACTAGCTAGCAATAGATAGTATGCTTCATTAAAAATACTTCGAAAATACGGGGTTGGAATGTAAATATTCAAAAAATGATTTAATTAGCTACATGCCCCCTCAAAAATTGTCTACGCCCCTTTTGCAAGGCTCGCCCCACGGTTTGAGAACCATTGTCGCAGTGAATAATTGCTGATACCTTTTTATTGCTAAATTACAGTTTTTTGGGTAGAATATTAAATTTCATGCGGACGAAGAAATGAACACGGGTCCGGTTCTAAAGACTTTGCCATATAAAATTATGAGCTCGCATTGGTGCCTAAACTAACATCATTACTGCAAATACAAGGGAAAAAGTTCCTTCTCAGGAATGACAAAATTTGGAACAAAGTGATGCAATTTTTAATCCGAATATTGGGCGATAATATGACAAAAACACGATTTTTTATTGTTAAAATTTATTCTTGTCTTATTCGCTTATTAGCCAGAAAAAAAACGATAGTTGTGCGAATCATGATATTATAAAGTATTCAGGGGATTTTCCATAGAAAATTTCTTGTGACAGACAAACCAAAGCTGAGCTTATACTAAATATAATAAAATTATTACTTTGTCTGCAGGTTTCCCGAAAAAATTACAAAAATCATTTCAAATTGCATTTAACAAAATAAATAACATTATATGACTAGGCGACACATGCTAATAAATATAGACAAAAGCAGGCTTGTCCATGGATCATGTTTTTCTGTCCCATTCCCATCCCATAGCAATTATCCTTGTCCCATCACATTCCATGGGATTCCTATTGGAATAAAATTCATTGAAAATTGTTAAATTTAGGTTTAGCGTCTAAGAAATTGGACTACATGTAAAAAGAGACGTGTAAAACAACAACATTTACGGACTTTATATTCATAACTATTATACACGTGTCAGCCCCTTCACGAAGTATATTGTTAATGCTGTATATGTTTTTCTCTTTATAACTAACAAGAGGGTTATGCTCAAATATATGGACACGGAATCCATAATGAAATTTATTACCATCATTTTCCCGAAAATCATATGGTTTTCGTATCCCACGTGTCCCATGGGAAATACAAATGTGTGTTGTCCCACCCCATCCCATGGGACGTTCCCATGGACAAGCCAAGACATAAGGTAACTATCTCGATCGATAAGCGTATCCATATTAGGTTTTTGGCCATTTGGGACGGTTGCCACAAAATCCTAATATGGTAAGCTGGAGTGAATATTTAAATATTAGATGCAAGCAGCCAATTTTCCAAGAAATGCTAAAATATTACAATATTCGGCCTAAAACTAAGCTATTAAACATGTACAACGATACTTCAAACACTCTTACGAAAATTACTTCCTTGGGGTATTAGTGCAGAGGTTCTCAAAGTGCTTCGTGAGAGAAACTTGGGGCTCCGCGAGCCATTCGATTACTTATTAAAATAATGACTTGGCTAATTTTGTGACTGTCAAAAGAAGTAATAACATCATTAATAAAATTTGACATCAGTAGCGTCGAAATATGAGAACGAGCGTAAATTCTAATGTGACATGAGTTAGATCGCGATGGATAAAGTCTTTTCTCTGGTAAAATATTCAATTCAGCCGGTGCAAGCATTTAAAATGACTTATCATAGTAATTTCATAGTAATTTAATGGTGTTCTTCGTTACTCGAATTTTAGTCGAGAAAACTTTTACGATCTCTCTTCCAGCTATGGGACCCATTTTATTTGACATGGGAATTTTTAAAATTATTTTTTTTGTCAACCATTAAGCCCTGAAACTTCACTCATGGCTTTTTAAAAGCGTGTGCTAGAGTTCTATTCAGCAATATATCTTTAAAACACACTCCTCCAAAATAAAAAATTTTATGCAAAAAAATTTCAAAAATTAAAAAAAAAAAAAAATTAGACCTTGAGAAATTCTGTGTACAGTAGAGGGTTATTAATTAACCCCAATTAATTAATTTTTTCTTCAACGTTTTCGTCTAGTTTTTCCTAACACAAAAATACCGAAACAACTATTATAGCATAAATGGTTATTACTCTGAAATTCACAATTGTATTTACAGGTGTATCAAGTTCAACGCTAAAATTACCGATTTTGATGACGTCACAGCTCTTATTATTACTGCACAGACCACCCTCAATGCAAAAAAAATTAAATATTTTTGACCGAAATGCGCGTAGAACGACGTAAACAATCCCATACGCGCATTTACGCGTTAAAATTACCATTAATTTTACGTTTTTTTACATACAAAAAATCTTCATACTTCTGCCAACTATGGAGCAGTCGAAATCATATTTATCAAAGCAACACAGCGCCAGGGATGGTCAGGGATAGTATGTATGACTGAAAATACATGCTAAACCAACAATAAGTCATTATAAAGGAGTATTCCCTGTCTGAGCTGAGTCGACATTTTCAGACGTCTGACAGGCGAGTTGAAATCCACGCTAATTATACGATTCGCACTTTGCGTCACGGCTGGAAGGTTTTATCGCTCCTCTCAAATCAGGGCATTAGTCAACAAAGAGCTAAGAGCGATATTAACAGTAGTTTACCGATCGCAAAATTAAATATAAATTTTCTCCCATATGAGCTTAGCCGCTGGAAGAGGGTTTAATAAAATGAAAAATCACTATTTAAAAGCTGCAGAAAATACGTCCCAAACTGCCAACTATAAGTAGACCGGAATCGTATTTTGAGATTAGTCAAATTTGATTTGTTTTTTAGGCACTCAAAATTATTTTAACGATATGGACATCGGTAGTTTTAAAATAGACAAAAGGTACATCGTGCGAACAATTTACTGTGTTTCGATTTTAGTCACTATATTGTATAGTTGTACACATTTTAAAGAAATCCTAACATATCACAAATTTACAATGTCTAAAAAGCGTTTTCAATCTGCTACGAGACTGCTAAAACAAAACTTATGGTGAAATCTTCCGTTTTAGATTTTAGTTTTGATATTTTATAATGCCGCTTTTCAATCAAGAAATTGGCTACGGATTCACCTCTTTATCATTTATTCTTAGCTTCTCTTCACCGATTTTTATAATATAGTATTCTAACTTGTTTCGCACACTGAACTCTCAATTCCGCACAAAAAAAAAAAAAGTTATCGTCAGCCTCGTAGAGCAATGCAGGCATATGCCAAGGGAAATTTGTGATTCAGAGAGAATAAGCACATAAATTGTTTAATAAAAACACGTCACGCTGAAGAAAACTATCGGCGATTCTTCCAAAATGTAATCGCGTACGTTATTAAGACTTTTTCAGTATTTCAAACACCAAAAGGGACCCGAAATTTATTACTATGTTTTTGGAGTTTACATCCTTAATATATTTGATTTATCTAGGAAATTTAAATTTATTTATGACTTGTATTAAGCCTATTTAAAATGTTCAGCATTTAAATTAAGTAAAGTAATTTTGACTTACTTAGGGATAGTAATAGATAACAATTTCAAACCTTTTGTAGGTATCCGTGAATTATGGTGATGAATGTAAATCAGGAAAATTCAAAAGATTATGATAACATACTTGCTCTTAGACTCGAGGCAGCCACCTCTCTCAGTGATGCATAATCGGACAAATAACTCCGCATGTCTTTAGATATAATGATAAATTGTCTTCCCCGCTTTCAAAAAGTGTTTCAGTAAGCTGAAATTTATTTGAGATAATGAAATGTAGGTAAATTTTGTATAATATTGATTTGAATTAAATATAGTTGTTCGAACTATGTCATTATTAAGTTTTAAGTTTACGGAAAAAGTAATTTGACAGGAGCACAGAGAAGCTATGCTTATACTTTAGATCATTGTTTCCCAACCCGAATCCGCGGTCTCAAATGAGTCCGCGGAGCGTTTGAATCAGTCCGCAACGGGCCAGAAATTCACTGCGGGCAAAAAAAAAGTTTTGCGAAACTTAACTATCAGCCAAGTTACGATTTACGTTAGAATTCACATAAAACATAAAAGGCAAGTTTTTTCACATAACATTATTCGAGACAATAATTACAGGTTAATGAGTAGAACTTGGCATATATTCGAATATTCAACTATTAGAATAGCAATTTACTATTCGAAAATTTGGTAACAGGTGACGCGTCGCTTATCAAACGATTGGATTTCAAAACTCACTTGCGGATTTCCGACGAAAACACACGCTTCGATAGAGTTCGTGAGTACGAACAACGAGGAATAATTTTTTATCTGGTAAGTGTCAATGGTGGCAACCCAAATTTTCTAAATTGAAAAGCGGCAATACAAAATACTAAAAATAAAACGGATAACAACATAAGTTTTGTTTTATGATTGTCCGCGGCTTTTTTAGACATTACAAATTGCAAAATTTCGGGTGCTACCGTAGTATACGTACGTGCCAGGGCATTTTTTCTTAGGATACCTTGCCTTACTGTCTCCACATTGGTACGTACAGTACTGGAGCGCCGTAGATGTTGTACAAACAGCTCAGATTTGTCGAATTCACAAAAATACGAATTAAAACAAAATATAATCGGGCACTTTACCACTTTGATATTTTCTGAGTATTATTGCTTTTTTTCGTCAACACAATTGCAAATTAAAATCATCACAATTAACTTAATAGTAAGGCAAGGCGATGAATATGTATTTTTAATCTACTAATAAACTTTGAATATATTCTTAATAAGTACTAAATCAAGTTGAAACGTTTTGGAACTTTATAGCAGAAAGTAGGATTTTCCTAACGGCGATAACAAGTTCGCAAGATCGCAAAAATATGTATCGAAACTAAATATAATCGGGCAATATATTCTCACATTATTATGTTCGCAGATTGCCGTGGCATTTTAAAAAATTAAAGCTTTCATCTTGCCGTAAGTCGACGCAACCGCGAGTTACCATGAACACAATTGAATTAAAATAGAAAGACATTTTAAATTCTTGTCGTTGTCATGGACTGAATATTGTGCGACAGAAACGGCCGTTATACTATATAATACATATAATGCAATGCAATATTGTGTCTCGACTATTGGGTGGGAACGAAAAAAGCCTAATTTTATTTCTAAAAAATTACCCCCGCCTTATTCACTGGGCCGACTCAATAGCCAGAATAAAACGGTAGTTGACCGAATCATGTTATTATGAAATTTTGAGGTTGCAATTTATAGAAAATTTTACATGACAGACGAAACAAAACTAGGCTTATACTCTATATATTCAAAGTAATAATTTGTCTGTAGATTTCCCGAAAAAAAAATACAATATATCATTTATTTATAAACATGTAAATTGGAAGATTTCAAATGATTTGGTTACATACTTGCTCTTCAGACGTGATAGGCCTCCATCTCACTCGGGAAGAAAACCTGGAACTTGGCGAATTTCTTTTGGTGCAATGATAAATTGTCCTGTTTTAAAACGCTGAAAATCAATATATATGTCGTGATTTTGTGTAAGCCAATTCTAAATTTGAATTAAACTAAATTTCGTTGAGCCAACTATGGCATTTTCAGGTAGTTAATTTACACAAATGTTATTTGACAGAGACAATGCATAGCTATGCTTATGTTAAAATGATAGTTACCGTAGTTAAAATGATATGTTAGTGTAACATATTGTACCTCATTTTGTATTCTTAAAGTAAGACTCTTTTCTGAATATTTTCTCCAAAAATATACGTAAGCTTTAATAAAATACGTAACGGGTAAATTTCGACATTTAATTTTATAAAACCAAAACTTAGAAATTTAGACGAATAAAATTTCTTCAGCGATTGCTATTGAATTTCAAATATATACTTTATAACATATCAGGTGTAGTTTTCAAACTGCACAAATTGCAAATACTAAAATAACAATAAAACACTCAGTGTAGTTTTATAACTGTTTCATGGAGTATATGACAAATTACCTCTGATCAGTAACTTGTAGCATTATCACATTGTTCACGGTTGGGATCGCTATCCAGCAGGGAAGCGCGCAACGAATTTTAGGGGTCGCAAAGAGTACACCAATTTCATACAAGGTATTATATTTATAGTACTTTTTTGGACTTCTATAATTATTAAAACTTGTGCAAAATCTGAATCTTACAATTTCGAGAAAAAAAAACAAGATCAAACAATGCTGACTCCGATCGCAAGACCCGAGACGCGGTGCGCATCGAATTGTTTAGCATTTTAAACAAAAACAGTGGTATACAGGAATCAATAAGCGTCGAAAGTCAAATAAAATGTTTAAATAATATTTACTTGTAATATTTCCCGTTCGTTACTTTTTGTCTTTGAATCTTTAACCTTTAATATTTCTGCACCTGAAAAAAAGTTAAGATATTGATAAATAAACTATCGCAGAACTGTAGCTAGCATATTCAATGGACAGTGGGACTGAATCTATCGGATCTTTTGCACAACGCTCCCGCCACGTTTTAAAATGACATATTAGTAATTATCCATTTGGGGTTAGGAATGATTGAAAAATTTGAATTTCCAGCGCAATCTGCATTCCTAACTTAGTAATTCTCCTGTTTTGAACGTTGGTAGGGTCTTTGTACAAAGATTCAATCTATACACAATAATATATCAAAGTAAAAAGGCTACCGCGAATCTCTATTAAACCATGGATTTTGCACTACATTTGCAAAAGTTTTGAAAGTTATGCATTACATTCAGTGGCGTAGCATCCAACCCCGCAACCCCCGCGGTTGCGGGAGGGCCCACAGCGCAAAGGGGCCCAGGCGGTTAGAATTTAGAAATTTAAGCCGCAAACCAAAAGCTGAAGTGCAAAACAAGTAGTCTTGCTACGCCACTGATTACATTCATGTAACGCGTACCATGTTGAGTGCAGCTTACGTAGTTACGTAGATCGGTGCATTACGTTTAACTTTCTTAATATGATAAGTTTATGTATTGCCATATAGCATTTAGGTTTGGCCTATTTGTGAGGAAACGATGGAACCCGCTGTTAGTGAGTTCGATACAAAAGAGAATCATCCATCAATCTAGACTTCTGTATTTGGTTAATAATTCCAATTCGTATAGGCCCGAAAACCTCTAATTTATCACTTATACAATAGTAAAATGAAAGCAATATAATAGCAATGAAAACAATAGGTATAAAGAACATTTAGCTCACCTGAATATTGTTTCGAACTCACTGTCATAACCCACAGTCAGCCTATCTATACATCCTACACAAAATCAAACCTCATCTTACCACGAACATTTGTGACTGACTAGAAGCGATGTCGCTTGTGGCTTCCCGCGCAAAAATATTTGACGAAAAAAGCTAACTGATTGATTGCAATCAAATGTTTTAACTGATTACTTTAATTACTCCAGGTTGTCGTTACGAGCCGATCACGCTTCTGGCGTGATCCCAAAGATGCAGAATGCAAATGACGGTTGGGATTTGCTTCATACATCGTATAATACCTAGTTCACAGTAATATTCTCAGGATCTTTTGTACCAAGCACCGCCTCAAAACAACACCCCGCCAACGCTCCAATTAAATAGAAATAGTAATTATTAAGTTAAGGTGAGGGATGCAGATTCAGCCGGAAATTCAAATTTTCAAATCGTTTCTAACCCAAAATCCTAACAGCATAATTACTTATTTTTTATTTAAAACGTGACAGGGGTGTTTATCTCAGATCACACATTTTTTGCATCAGTGACGGAGCTTAGTACAAAGAATCCAGCAATTCCATTATATTTGTCTGTTTACATTTGTCGAGTAAACGCGCACGTGAATGCCATCAAAAATGTAACCTTCACTCAATGAAAGAATAACGGCGTGTACAAGTTTAGCGTTATATCAATGCATTCTCTGCATTGGCGTACAAATCTTAGCTCATTGACTTGCGCAGCCAAGAATAATTTAAAGTTTTCGTACAATAACGTGCCGGCGATGTCGTTTAAAGGGAGGTCATAATGTGACGTTGTTTCGTTGACTACTGTATAGTAATTTCTTCGCCCAAAAATAAACGGTGAAGACATAACATCAGCAACAGCATTTAATCACGGTTCTATATGAAGTAAATAATTGACTGCTCAATACAAGAGCATACCGACGACAACAACTGATAATATATAGAATTACAGATCATCTATTCGAGACCATTCAAATATTTGGTGTTATGTCGCTCGTGAAGAGGTGTTATTGATGTAGCCCCGCAATAAGAGCGTAACAAAAACTATTGTTACTTACCAATCAATATTAATGAGTGAATTGAAATTACTATATTTAATAACTCGGATGTATTTGCTGCTTCTTAAATGTTATTAATGCCATTTTGAGTAAACGAATAGATCGCGGAGACCCTATGTCCGTATGAAGCACTTTATTAACCATGGAATATCCCAAGATACGTAAAGTTGACAGAGGGTGTCGAGCATTCAACAAAGATTGGATACCGAAGTATTTTTTGTAATAATCCGTCCTACCGAGGACTTCATTTTCTCACATCTGGCCCGCCGACTAGAGAAGTTGCCCACCCCTGATCCAAGGTAAGTAAGGGTATACACGTATTTTAATGTACTTAATGCACTGCAGCTGACTACGCGTTGAGTGGCGCATCGTTCTAAGCCTGAGTAATACGCTTGATTTCTTACCCCGCTTGGATTCGCAGGTTCAAATACCGTAAGGGATAATTCAGTACCAGAAGATTGCTGGCGACCTCCTCCCTATCCTAAGCCAGCGTTTCCCAAACTTTTTTCGCCACGGAACACTTGCACTTTTTAGGTCGCCTCGCGGAACACCAAAAATCAAATTGATTGTGTTAAACATACCTAAAATATGATTGGGTAATTTTTTTTTTTTTTAGTTTAAATGCTGGGTATATGAATCAACAAATTCATTTTAGTTTTCTGTGTCGATTACTTTTCATTGCGTAGTGTTTGCCTTTAATGTTACGTAACAATGAAGTACTTTATTTTTATTTACCTGCTCTATTTATTATTATTTATCTGCTGAATCGAGTTTAGCAAGCATGAGTAATTTTTTCTGCATTTTAAAGTAAAACCAGGCAGAGGTGGAAGAAGAAAAGTTGACCTTTTGCCATTATTTTTCAGGCCTACATGATTGCCTACAGCAAAACCAAAAGCTGTAAACTTGATATTGAATTTGACAATCAAAAAGGTAGGCCGACGGTTAACGAAAATGCCACCACCCGCAAAAAGTTAGTCAGCTTTAGGCCGACGGTGACGCGATATTCAACGGTCGTTAGTTGGGCGACAACTTTACGATGGCGTGATTGACATACGATGGCGACCAATTTAGCCCTAAGTGAACGCCATATGAAAGAGATGTCTTTCTTGTAGGCTTTCCCACTACCGGCGAGAAAATCTCATGGTATATCATTTTTGCAGCCATAGATTAAACATTTACATAAAGTCATCAGCTTCACAAAACTAGGGCTCAACGTCTCAACTTCATAACTGTGGCCACGATGGATGATTCTTGTCAACCATAACATGGACTGTTGGATTTTGTTAATTCATGCACAATTTCATTGATCATACAGGCTGCACCAATAAAATTTATATGGACGTGTGTATTTCTTGCCTAACTTGATACTTACCAATTTTTATGAAGCATGTACAATCAGAACATCGTTAGTTATAATCCACAATTAACCACTGTCAAACTATCATGCACAACTCCAGCGTTTATTTGCGACGATCTTTCGGCGGTGTCAATGACCGTTGCCAGAATAAAATCCTGAAATAGTCTCAATATTCCATTGATGTGACGCACATCGAAAGATTGGTGATTGATAAGTGTTCTTTTTTCATATTTATTACAGTTCTTATCAAAAAAGTAATACAATCCTTATAGAAATAATTGCCCTGTCGGGCGGTACTAAAATTCCGATATCTCCGTTATTTCTTGACCGTTTTTATAAAACTTTTTTCTTAAACTTTTTATAAAACTTTGCGTGCCGGTAAAGAATTTTAGCCTATTTTGTCACAGTTATTTCTAGAGTAATTTTTCATTACTATACTATTAAAACTACAACTCCTAAGGAGGCAAATGATGATTGACTTATTTGATTCATACTCCAATTTCCGAAACACAACCAAAAACTAACGAATAGCATTCAAAGCCGCAAAAACGAAGTATTGTTCACAACCACGACTGAAAATCTGTCACGGTGACAAAAGTGTCTGAGGGGATGCGAAAAGGCCTATTAATACGTCACTTTTTTGCATCTTGCTGATTGGCCAATGTTACGAAATGAACAAGAAAGACAATGATGGGGAAAATCTCCGTCGGTAAAAAATTTAGCCATTTTTGCGTGTTATTGCGGGCCGGATAAAATGACGCCGTAGACGGGCCGTAGTTTGGTGACCCCTGGGTTGGAAGATTGCAAAATCCTTTGAGGTCTCGCGGGCCGCATGTCGGAGAAAACCCAAAAGTGATCGAAATATCGCGAGTTTACTTACTTTCAATTTAATAAACAACGAGGGTTTACCGTTCTAATTAGACTATAATTTTGTTGCATAGATGGCGTTTTTTCAAACAAGATTAGGTATTTTAAAATTAATTCCCGAGCATTATCGTTGTATTTTGCGCATCACTCATTTTATTAAGAATTGTTATATTTGAGTAATTTAAAAATTTGCAGCGTGAGCAAGCTGAGTGCCATCGTCAAATAACAAACAAGTCCGTCTAAGTTGGTATTTCGGGACCTAGCTAAAAAAAACTGGATTGCGCGGCGTTAAGTCGACTCTGCGTTTCGTCACTACTGTCACATGGCCCACGCTTGAAAACAGAGGAGTATTTTTACTAAAATAAAGGCAAAAAGCGTTAGAAAAAAAGTGTATGAATCTAAGGATCCCAACCACAGTTGCAATAGCTAAAAAAAACTCGAAAGCGTTCTGCTATTAGATACAAATATACGTTAATATTTTTCTGTGAACAGCACGGAATGTGTCAGCATCACATGGTTTGGACCACCCTGGTCTACCTTATCAAAAAACTCTCGACTTCGCTGACCACTAGATCGTTGAAATGCGATCGTGGAACCGCCACATAGTGCAAATAGTTCTTTGGTCCAATTGTTGAAGAGAAAAGAATTTATTTTAAAACAAAAAATGCAGCAACAAGGAAAATACTAGGAGGAAAAAACAACAATTTAAGAAAAAGACTCATAGGCCCATTTTCGTGTCCAATAAATAAGTTTCAGTGTTTATTTTTAATGAAGAAGGTTAATGATACTTGAAGACGATAAATAAGCAAACGTTTTGAAGTTTGAGTCGTCTAGTGAACTCGTAATATTTTAATAAACACCGATAAACTATATAAATCTCTGCTCTAAAATTTCTGTGATGCCCTTTTTTGCTTGGTGCCCTAAGCACGTGCTTATATTATTTAATAGTTAATCCGGCGCTGAGTGGGTGTAAAGGACAGTGTGCCCCATGACACGGGAAAGAAGTTAGTTGTGAACTAGGCAGAATGGGAAGGTTTGGGTGAGCGGCAGAAAGCAGAGTGAGTACCCAAAAACACTATAAGGAAATCAAGGAGCCAGTAACTGAAGTTACTAGGACGAGGTCAGTGGCACAAATCAGACAGAGCGCCGGCAACACACAAGAAGGAAGTCTGATACCACAGGTAATTATAACCTGCAAGGACGGCATCCAGTCGGGGTCAGTGGCAGAAGCCAGACAAAGGAGAGTCACCAGGGTATAAAAATAAGTGAATTGAAGAAGTCAGGACATATAAAACTTAAATTATATGTTTGCCTTGTGGCTGATTCTTCACCGATCCCCGGAATTATCAAGAATGCAATTTTATTAATAAAAAGAAGTCAGGACATGTTAACAACCTAAATTGTAGTCAGGGTCGGCTGGTTGCTCTGTTGCTGTGCCCGTCAGATTAATAATTCTTCACCGATTCCCGGGATTAGTAAGAATGCAATTTTGTTAATAAAAAGGCACCGATTGCAAACAATTTCTCCGCCTGGAATACAATATACATTTTGCATTTATATGTCGAAGACTGATATTTTTCTCTACCAACGTATGTAAGCTATTTCTTCGTTTCACTTCTCACGTAGTTCAAAAGATCTCACTTTACGGAGCTAGCAAAATATTCATGATCGTGCTTTCAAATCTTATGGGAACTCTCATTGGATCTTTTGTACAAAGCCTCCGCCACTAATACACAAAATGTAAGATTTGATAGAAACAATCCTGACATGTTTCAAATAAAAAATTATTAATTATCCACTTGGTTCGGAATGAATGAAGATCGTCATGTTCGGCGCAATATGCAGCATTCTTAATTGGATAATTATTAATTTTCTCATTTGAAGCGTTGGTGGAAGCTTTGTACAA